CATCACAATAAAACTTTTAAAATATAGAAAAATTTTAAAAATCATCTTTAATGTTGCTTCTTAATGTTTTTCTTTCTAGGATTTTTTTATATTATAAAATATATCTGGGAACTACTGGGTGGCTCAGTTGATAAGTGTCTGCCTTCGGCTCAGGTCATGATCTTGGGGTCCTGGGATTGAGCTCCGCATCAGGCTCCCTGCCCGGCAGGAAGTCTGCTTCTCCCTCTCCCACTCCCCCTGCTTGTGTTTCCTCTCTCTCTCTCTCTCTGTCAAATGAATAAATAAATAAAATCTTTAAAAAAAATAAAATATATCTGAACAATATAAGGAACACTTCTTTAACCACACCTCATTTAAAAAAAAAAAGCATGTTCAGTACAGTTCAAGTCCTTTGTGTACCTTTACCTCATTCCTCCCTCCTGAAGGTAACCACAGTCCTGAATTTGGTGTATTATTCTCAGGCATATTTAAAAATTCAGTATATCATAATTTAATACTGACAGCTATACTTGTGGTGAACATAGCATAATGTATAAACTTGTCAAATCAGAATCACTGAATTGTACACCTGAAATTAATGTAACATTGTATGTCAACTATACTCAAATTATAAAAAATTTTTTTGTAAAGATTTTATTTATTTGACAGAGAGAGAGAGACACACAGCAAGAGAGGGAACACAAGCAAGGGGAGTGGGAGAGGGAGAAGCAGTCTCCCTACTGAGTAAGGAGCCTGATGTGGGGCTTGATCCCAGGACCCTGGGATCATGACCTGAGCTGAAGCCAGACATTTAACCGACTGAGCCACCCAGGCACCCCCCCTTCTTAGAAAATATTTTATTTACAAATTGTTTTTTTTTCATGTAAAATTGTATTTGTGGGGAGCCTGGGTGACTCAGTTGGTTGAGCATTTGATTGTTGATCTCAGTTCAGGTCTTGATCTCAGGGTCATGAGTTCAAGCCCGGCACTGGGCATGGAGCCTACTTAAAAAAAAATTGTATTTGGAAGATGTATCCATATTGACATGTAACTCTTGGTTACTTTTTTTTGCTGCCACATGGTAATCTTTCTCTGAATATTCCATGATGGATCCATTTTCCTCTTCATGGACTTTTAGATTCTAAACTTTTGCTTAAAAAGTCTCCATGATCATTCTTGTACATGTTTTCTTGTGTATATATACATGTATATGTATATGTATATGTATATGTATATGTATATGTATATGTATATGTATAAATAAAACCCCCTGAGTTCTCCGGGGCAGAAACTTGGAAGTGGAATTATTTGGTTATGTGGTATGTGCATCTTCAGCTTTACCAAATTGTTCTTCAAAGTGGAATGCCAACTTACTATTCTACCAGCAGTGTAAGAGTTCTTCAATCTTGGCTATCGTTAGACTGCTTAAATCTTTCTGCGGTCCTGTGAGTATGAACAGTATTTCTTAAGAACAGCAAAGAGAAGACTTGTATTATAGGATATTTAAAGCATGTGTGAAAGCAGAGTGATTAGTGCAGTGAACCTCTATGTGTTTTGTCACCCTGATCAACGCATGGCCCTTCTTGTTTTACCTACAACCTTACTCCATTTCCCTTCCCAGGGTTCTAAAGGAATCTGAGATGTCACCCTGTCTTATCTGCAGACACTCATGCATCTCCAGCACTAACTCTTTCATATATGGCCTCGGTAGCATTATCTCACTAAAAAATAAAAACAATCCCTTAATGTTATTAAATTTAGTTTCTCTAGTAGTTTTGTAATATTTTTACATTTGTGTCTTCAAATCAGGATCTAAATAAGGTTCATACATTATAATTGATCTCAGCCTGCAGATTCCCTCTGTTTTCCCATACAACATCTACCTTGTGATGTTAGCAGTCATTAATGATTATTGCCAGAAAAATCCACTCATTCATCAGGAGTTGCAAAATGGTGCTATTCTGTCATTTCTTTTTTGTTTGTTTATCAGCAGGATACCTCTGTAAAGAGAGCTTTTTTCTCTTCAAATAGCTGGTCTTCTTGAGATACTGTTAGTAAAGAAAGAAAGGATAAAATTCTTTCCTTTCATTCACCACCTTTTAAAGCAATTACTTTGTTGCCAGTATCCTCCCAAGGTCATCACTGAGTTTGTTTTAGTTATCTTTATGAACTCATGGGTTTAAACAAATTTGGTGTGTTCCAATCTATTATAGTAATCATTCCAAATGATGCTCAGATTGCTCAACTTTGGCCAGTGGGAACCTCTTTAAGTTGGCTCCTGAATTCTTTTGACACCCTCCTGGTAGTCTCTGATAGTTTTCTTACTTTCTGGTGTGACGAGATATTTCACATTCACCTTGTACATTTCTTGCTCCAGACCTGAAACCAGCCATTTCTCTAAGGAGTTCTGGCCACATGGCCATCATCTGCATAACATACACCAAAATTCCAGTTTCTCAGAAAGAAAGCAAGTGTTCATCACACATTGTTTACATAGGTAGTTTAGGCAGGGTGAGCCATTTTTATCAAAGAATGGTGGGAATCCTCCTGGAATCTAAATTCCTAGACGCCAGCCTGGGCCCACCTTGCAAGCCAGCCTTTTTAAGGACAATAGTCCGACGCCTGCTGTGTTGACTCTTTTCTGCACAGCTGCCTGTTGGATATTTTGTGGCGATGAAGAGTAAGTAGAAAGTTGGTTAAGGAGTCAGGAGTTCAGAGGAGAGGTTGTGATGGAGGTATACATGTGATAGTCATTAGCGCAGAGAAGGTATTCAGAGCTGGGAGTGAGTGAAGTCACCTAGGGAGTGGGCCCAGAGAGAGACTCAAGGACTGGCCCTTGAGCACGAAGTTGTGGAGATGAGGAGAAGCCAGCAGAGGAGACTGAGAAAGAGCACCTGGTGAAGTAGTACCACGTGGAATGAGAACCCAGAGGATGTAGTATCCCTAAGGCCAAATAATAGAGTGTTCAAGGAGGGCGAGTTCAGTGGTGTCAAGTGCTGCCAATAGGCTGAGTAAGCTGAAAATGGAGAACTGACTCAGTCAGCATGGCCATGTGGAGGTTACTGGGGACCTTGAAATATGCCATTTCAGTGGAGTGGTTGGGACCAAAGCTTGATGGGAGTGGGTGTAAGAGAGAATGGGAGAAGAGGGAGTATAGACAGTTCTTTCAAGGAATTTGGCTGCAGAGGGGAGCAGAATGGTTGGAGGGGCAAAGGAGCGGAGGAATAACAACATGAAAAAAATAACAGCATGTCTGTATGTTGATGGAGATTCTTCAATACAGAGAGAGAAATCAATCACCTAGGAGAGAAGGGGAGGAATGTTGGAACCTGAGGAAGAGAAAGTGAGTGAGAGATCTAACGTCTAAGTAAGGAGGCTTCGCCTATAAGCATGGACAGTTCATCCGTAGTAACAGGAAGGTGGGCACAGTATCTAATACAACAGGGCTGGGTTGGTAGGTCTGTTGGTGAGAGCTTGGAAACGGAGATGGTAGCACGGTCACCAGCTGCACTCGAGGAGTGGGGAAGAGATGCTGCAGATTTAAAGAGTGGAGAGGTATGGGAGACTTAGCTTAGTGAGTGGATAGGGAAAGATAGATTGTGAGGTACCAGCTGGAGGTTAGTGGTCATGAACTTAAAATGAGACTAGTTTTCAGATAAAGGTTTTTTTTTTTTTTTTTTTTTTCTAGTTACTTCCAGCCATTGGGCTACAGGTGCAGGGTAGGTGGTGATTCAACCAGTGTTTGAGTTCAGCGAGGAGAGCAGTGGAATTAGCCATGTATGCCAGAGAGTGATTTTAACACTGGCCCACGGGATGGAAGCTGGTTAAGGAGGGAAGTGAAGAATGAAGCTGTGAAGATGTGGTGCCTACAATCAGTCGTAGGTCCGCGTGTTCAAGGAGTTGCTGAAGTTGTGCATTTAGAGGGACTAAGTAGGAAGATGGGAGAAACTAATCAGAGCACTGAAAGCTTAAAAAATTAGGGAAGGATGTGCAGTTATGGATAATGGGAGAGTATGTGACTCTAAGAACAGGTAACTGGGTTAAGGTGGAGAATACAGTCACTGAAGGAGAGTGGGTCAAGGAGCCAAGAGGCCAGGGGACTGGAAGGATCATCCACATTGACACTGAAATCACAAGAATTATAATCGGAGAAATTATTAGATTTGGAGAAGGTGACAAGGAGCAAATCCTCAAGGATGATGAGAGTGACTGGAGATGACAGTTGTCATTTCCTGATGGTTCCCGCTTTCTGTGTACTTCCAGACTTCTTGTACTGCCGATGGACTTTCCATGATGCAGAAACTTCTTACCTTTTTACAAAGGACCCTGTGCTCTGATCAAAAGTCCTTAGTCATGCCACGGTTTTGCCTGACTCTGCCTTGTATAGCCGCTGTTCCTTTTGTTTGAAAGCTCTCAGCTGCAGCAGCTCCCTTCCCCAGCAGATGGTCGCTTCCTGTTTATAGTCTGTTGGATTTAGTACATTATTTTCAAAGTATTAGTTTACAGTCACTGTTTTCCTCTCGTTTTGTTTAGGCCAAGAGCCTTATCTGTCTCTTTGTCCCTGAAGCCCTGTGAAAAAGCTCTCAGCAAGCTCTAGGACCAGATCTGGTTCATAAATTCCTTTTGAAAGTCAGTTATTATCGAGTAAATAGGTGTGTGATTCTTCATTTTTTTTTTAAAGATTTTATTTATTTATTTGACAGAGAGACACAGCGAGAGAGGGAGCACAGGCAGGGGGAGTGGGAGAGGGAGAAGCAGGCTTCCCGCCGAGCAGGGAGCCCGACGTAGGGCTCAATCTCAGGACCCTGGGATCACGACCTGAGCTGAAGGCAGATGCCTAACGACTGAGCCACCCAGGGTGCTCCCTGATTCTTCATTTTTAATCTCCGTAAATATGATGCTTGCTTAGATGTGCTTATGTCAGGTGCCACAGTTAATGACAAAAAGTTTAAATCACAACAGATTCCTTTTCTCCAGATATTACAGAATGACTACTCTTAATCTTTTTATTTGTATTGCAGAGAAGACTGAAAAGTATAGGAGTCACTAGTTGTGCTAACATGGGCCTGAGCACCGATGACACGGTCACTTCTACAGCTTGAAGAGAGAGCCTCAAGTCTCAGTTTTTATTTTCTCTCCCTTCCGGTTGGGGCCTTTTATTCTGGTCTTGGGAATGGGGTTCACAGTTGAAGGAAGGAGGCCCCAAAGGTACTGAGATAATCTCTGGAGTAAAGAAAACAGGAAAAGTAAAGGTGACTATAGTATAATGAAACCAATGCTTTCTTTTTCCTTCTCTGCTAACTCGTTATTTAAATGTTATTAAATGTCACTTGATGTTAGTATACTTAGCTTTATTTTTTTTAGTCTTTTTTTTAAGTATCTCATTTAATTTATTGAAAAGAGTCTGTATGTGAGGATTTTTGTGGCAGTTTTGATTTCTCCTTATGATTTCTTATATATTTTTGAATTTTGTAGTTAAGTGGATTACCAGTATAAATAACCTTTATTAATTATGTTTTTGATTCATAGTTTATACATTTGCTTTTGGCATATTATTAAGTTAATATCAATGTATAAAAAAATCTAGTGACAAAATACTCATTTTAATTTTTTTCAGAAACTATGAGTGGAGAATCTCAAGTCCACATTTTTTGGGGTGCTCCGGTTGGTCCATTGAACATGACAGTATCACCAGAACCAACTTCTTTAATGTCTACCGAGAACCCTTGGAAAAAGATTCAGCTTTTATACCACCAACATTCTTTACATCTGAGGGATGAAAACTGCACGCATGAAACTCTTGAAGACAATTCAGTTCTAGAAGCTAATGGCCCTCTAGATTTTCCGAATGCTCACTTTTTAACAAACTCTATGGGTGAACCTATTCATGTGAAAGAAGACTCTATAGATTGTATTTCTGAAACACAGACTGTAAAATCTCAGGAGAGTCCCCCTTTAGGAGTGAGAGAGAGAACCAGCTCCAATGTGCAAATATGTGGGTTTAAGGGCAAAGTTCAGCATTTAACGGAAGAAGAAAAGTTTCAAAATCTTCTCAGTGAAAATAAGAAAATTACAGATGAACAGCATAAAGATCAGTCAAATACATGTGGTCAGAACTTTCAGAAAAACTTCTTTCAGTTAGATCATAAGTGTGCAGCTACACTAGATTTGGTCTGTAGTATGGAAAAGATTAATGTAGGGCTGGGGGCAATTGAAACAAAGTGTGGGCCAACAGAGCATCATGAGGTACAAAACCAGGGTCTGGAGTTCTTTTCCTCTGACACAGAAGATAAGCCAAGGTCCGAAGCTGTTAGAAAGGTCACAGACCTTAAAATATCTACCGATACTGAATTTCTTACTATAATGACCTCCAGCCAGGTTGCTTTTTTATCTCAAAGGAAGTCTAAAGGACAGAATTTTATCAATAAAGGGACTGTAAGCGAACCAAAGGCAAGTCATAGGGAAATAAGAATACTTGAAGATAATTTGACTCAGCCTAATGATGACTTCGCAGGAGGATGTGAAAGTGGACAAAATCAAGCACATTCCCTTGAACTCTTTAGTCCTGTTTGTCCTGAAGCAAAAAGTAGTGACACTCACATGAAGTCTGAGAAAAGTCTCGAAGAAAATAGAGGATCTCAAGCACTTTTCAATTTTGAAGACAAACTGCCACCCAGTGATGTATGTATCGAGTCATATAGCTCAGGAATGCTGTGTTCCCAACTAAATACCTTCCACAAAAGTTCTGTTAAAAGAAGTTGGATCTCTGAAGACAAGTTGGGCCATTCCAAAGCTCTGTCTAAAGTCCTCCAACCATCCAAGAAAATTAAGTTGGTCTCTGATGCAGGAGATCCTACTGCAACAATGGACCAGAGGAATGTGTCTAAATTTAAGGGGATTAAAAAAACATCATTAATACAAAATTGTGATTCTAAAAGTCAGAAGTATAATTGTTTAGTCATGGTATTATCTCCATGTCATGTGAAAGAAATAAGTATAAAATCTGGACCAAATTCTGGCTCTAAAGTGCCTTTAGGAACAATTGTGGTAACGGACCAGTCAGGAATTAGGAAGAAGGTCTTTCTGTGGAGGGCTGCAGCATTTTGGGCACTTATAGTGTTTCCTGGAGATATAATTTTGCTCACAGGTAAGGTCCATCATGGGGTAGTGGTAGCTTCAAGCTGTAGGCTTCCCTGACCTCCCACTTTTAGCCTTATACCCTTTGCCTCTGTGGGAGGCGGCATGATCGATCCCTTTCCCCTATCCAGGTTTGTCTCCTTACCATCGCCCAGTATCCCGTGTTCCTGCCATTTCTGGGCCTTTGCTCTAGCCCTTCTTAGTTCTGTCCCTCCTTGAGGGAGGCCTTGAAGAAGCCTTCCCTGATTGCTTCTCCGTTTCATTCACTATGTTAGCATTCAGGTCATATCATCAGGCTCTTTCTTTGTTTCCTTGTGGTTTTGGCTACATATATCTTATTTTTAAGTGTTTTCTTGAGCTATATTAGCAGTCTTATGATCAAAGGACAGCGTTTCTACTACTTAAACCCTAATGATGCTGTGCACATCACCTTCTTATTGAGGGGACAGATAGAGAATTTCCATTGTGTTTTTAATTATTAAAATTACACTGTCACATTTGGGAATATGGGAAGGAAAAACTGCTGATATTAAAGCAACCTCATATCACCTCCAGTAGAGTTTTGGAGTGTTACCTTCTAGTTATCTTCCCTCTGCTCCTTAAAATGTGTATACGTACATATGTAATAGTTGATATTTATTGGGAACTTACTTTGTGTCCAACCCTGTTTTACGCTTCACATGTATATCAATTCATTGCAACAACTATATAAAGAAGGTACCGATTATTAGCCCATTTTTCACTTTGAGTAAATGGAGACCCAGAAAAGTAAAGCAGTGTACCCAGTTTCACACATCTAGGAAGTGGCAAAGCCAGGATCTCACCTAGACTCCAGAACCCATACTCTTACTATATAGTTGTAATCATAAAGAGCATCGAGTTTTTGTCCTGCTTCTTTCTGACATAAGACATCTAACATTTTTTTTACATGTTCTTCATTAATTGAAAATAAATACACAGTGTATTAGAGCAGAGGCACCAATGATATTAAGGGTGAGTCCCAGACTGGGAGGAAGTTAATTAAGCTCAGTAACCTACCTAAAGAAAGAACGTGGTAGAGAAGAGGGGGTGAGCCTTAGAAGCTTAGAAAAAGAAGACATCAAGGCAGTCATTGGTGGTTCCTACCAAGTGGTTTGCTGGGGGACTGAGAGCCTTGCCTAATATTCCTTAGGTGCTTAGGTAAGAGTCTCAGGTGCATGCTCTCATAAAGAGATACGTGGGATTATAACCGACATGGTTAGCAGAGGCTCGTCCCATTGGCAACGTCATCTTATTTGTTGCTAAGTCAGTTCATATTGCTCCCTCTATTCTGATTCGGTGCTCACCAAGCAGCCCTTGGCTTACGATTTGGCTTCCCAGGTGTAAAGCTGCCAATATGAGAATTGGCTACAAATGCTGTTTCTGTGGTAATTAATGTCTCATTGTAAATTAAAAAATGGTGTTGTGTTTTTCGTTTGTCTCATTAACTTGTTTAATGGGAGCTTATGTTGCAGAGCTGAAATCTATTTTTGGGGTGCCGACAAAATCAGATTCCCAGGTTATCAGGAGAGAACGGGGCCCTGGACCACAGTTATTTTACCACGGCCATTACTGTCCCTGGGTGAACCTCACAGGAAGACTTTTCCTGGCAGATGGAAACTCAAGCCTGCTATCCCTATGTTTTTTCCTAGTGTCCATACAGTTGTTAGCAACTAGGTAACCTTCTATCGAGTGACTTGACTGGTTTACTTAGCCATTTTCCTATTATAGGATATTTAGATTATTTCTATGAGCACCTTTTAAAAAATTAGTTTTTTTTTTTGTTTTGCCTTATTTCCTTAGTAAAAAAGTAATCCACCAATTTCTGAATAGGTTTCTTTTGTTTGTGTGAAACAGTTGGAAACTTAATAGAAAAAAGTGAAATCTATACTTTTCCATTGTCCTAATTAAATACTGAAATTGTATTTACATAGAAATTTATGGGTAAAATCCCATTTTAATTAACAGCATCCAATTGTACATTATTATATCTCCACATTGGATATTTCATACTGTCTACTGACATATACCCCCAAACTTAACGTGTTTCTGCAGCAGATGTATCCCAGCTCACACTGTGTTCAGTGACATAGCTGACCTTTTGTCATTATACTTGTAGCAATATCATGAAGAGGTGCTGTAAGTAAGGACTGTCTAAGGGAGAGTGTTGGTCAGAGTTCAAAGAGGACCTGCCACTGAACTGTGGAAAACCACAGATTTTCAAGAACAAACAGGAGAAGCTCTAGGGCATATCAGTGAGAGGGAATCAGGAGAGCCAGGAGGCAAGGGCTGGGCCAAGAATTCTGCTCCACCCTATCACTACTGATTAGCAAGTCACTAACCCAACCTAGGTTTTACAATCTAGTTTTCTGAAGCCTCTCCTTGAAATCTCTTATTTGTTTCTTTCTGAAGAGCAGGCATCCTGATGGTCAGATGATGATAAGTCTAGAACGCTGTGCTTGCTGTTCCTGGCCAGGCAGTGGGGAGCTGCTGAATGCTTTTTAAACCAGTCAATGGATCGCATTAATGTTCTTGAGAAATCACTCATTAGCACGGGGGCGGGGGGCGGGGAGCGTGGGGGGACACATGGACTGAAGGTGGGAAGGGACCTGTTAGGAGAGAGGGGAATGTATGATATAAAACAGTATTGGCAGGGCCATGGGGAGACTTAAAAGGCAGAGCCAACGGGTGGGGGTTTGGAGACAAAGGTGGGGAAGGAGAGGTAGAAGTCCAGGGATGACTTCACATTTGAATTTACCTGGAGAGTTCCAGAGTGCCAATAAATGAGATGGGTCATATGAGAAGAAGAGCAGGTTTGAGCAATGCTGAGTTTGGGGAGCCAATGGAATATCCACTCAGGAATGTCTGTTTTGCAGTTGTGGATAAATGGGTAAATGGGTTTGAAGCTGGGGAGAGGGTCTGGGTATCAATTTGGAAGTAAGTACTTGGAATACGTGCATCCTTGTTTATCCTTCTTATTATCTCAAAAATTTGCTGCTGTTAGGATATCTTTATACCTCTAGCATTTTATGCACTGATTATATCCTGCCTGGGATCAATATGTCTCTGTCTCTTACAGTTTTTGCTCTACTTGGAATTGTTTCTACCTGTTGGTATATTTAGTTCCACTCTCTGATTCTTCTCTAGGCATCTTAGATTATAGAGCTCTCCTATTGGAAAGTCTCCCAAATCCTTCACTTTTGACATCTAGAGATGAAGATTGCTTTTGAGGGAAAAAATAATTGAAGTCCTTTAAGAATGCCTTATATTCATATGTGCTTATAGCAGAAGGGGTAAATGCATACTAAATATTATTTGCTCTTCTAGGCACTACTGCTTTGGAACCATTACTTTGCTTCCTGGCTCTAAATGATTTGCTTTTAATTTCTCAAAATAGACATTAGAACATTTCTTTTACTTAAACAAAAGCCATTAAACCATTCTTTGTGGAGTAGTGAGCTTCCATACTGATATTGTTCAAATATACAGAAGCAATTTTGTTATTGCTATTTTATTATTTTGTGTCTTTAGGCAGATCATTTAACCCACTTGAACTTTAGTTGCCTGGCATGTGAGAGACATGCATAGTATTTTGCTATGATTGCTAAGTTAATTACGGTGTGAAGGAATTTATGACATGATCAGAAGAACTTTTTTTTCTCCTTTCCAGATGTTACTGTTTATGAAGATCATTGGATTGGTGAGACAGTACTACAATCAACATTTACCAGTCAGTTATTAAATCTTGGGAGTTACTCATCTGTCCAGTCTGAAGAGTGTAAGACATATTTTAAATATAATAATTTCCTAGTATTTAAAGTATATACGCATATTAGAAAAAGCTACAGCAATGTGAGAATACATATGCACAAGGTTATTCAGGGAAGTGCTTATAATTGCAAGACACTGGGAAAAATCGGACTGCGCCTGCATAGCAGAATGACTGATTACATTGTGGTACATTTCCACAGTGAAATACTATGCAGCCGTGAAAAAGAATGAGAAAGAGCTCTGTGAACTGATAGGGAGTGATTTCCAGGATATACTGTTAGGTGAAAAACACAAAGCTCAACAAAGCATACATAGTATGCTTTGTATAAGAAAGAGGGGAGTAATAAAATATATGTGTATCTCATTTGTGCAAAAAAAAAAATGCAGGAAAGAAAACAGAAACTAAAGAGACGAGTTACCTACAGAGTGGGTGGGAAAAGGGACAGAAAGAAGGAGGGAATGGAAATAGGGTAGCATTGAGGCGGAGGGAGTGACGCTTCTCTGAGTGGATCTTTTTGCGTAGCTTTGACTCACCGAGAATCACAGTGCTGCTTCCCAAACCCACAGTAAACCAAATGCAGTGGAGGGAGAAGCCCCAAAGAAATGCCACTAACAAATGAACCTGACCATATTACAAAGGAGGGTGGGGGAAGGCGAGATCAAACCTCAGTAACTGGATTCTGCAAGGCCAAGGACAAAAGGAGGGCATGGGTGCTGCAGTCTGATTAGTAGAAGTGCTTCTTAGAGGGGCGTGGGTTAGCAACGGCCTGGAAACTGGAAGCAACAAAACGTAAAAAGTCAATTTCCAATTTGGGGATTTCTTTAAAAGGTGTAAGTGTTATCCTTTGTTAGGAGTATTTGAAATTGCCGCATCTTGGAGAGCATATTTCCATGGAGCTAAATGAGTTGTAAGTAAAATTCACCATAGTTAATAGATGTTAATACAATAGAAGAGTAAGGAACGTTTTGAAATCATGAAAATAACATGGTATGCAAATATTTTGCAAGGGATCGGGGAGATAAATGTTGTAGGTAGAGTTGGTTTTAAGACTGATTTACATTCAAGTAAGGCTGATCTGTTTCAGTCATTTCAGAAAAATCTTAAGACCTAATTCTAGATGGAGAATATCACATGGAACCCCTGGGAAGCTTCAGGTTTTTTGTAGAACAAAGAGGAGAACCTTGAACTAGTTAGAGAACCTTTAAAGGTTACTTCAAATTATTTCTTTTTATACTTATATAGGAATTTATATTGCCCTGTTTTTCATAGGTTGGTAGCTAACATATATTCTAAGTCTTTTTAATTTGATTTAGGGGAATGGTTATCAGTTGGTACTTTGAGAATATTATAATTGTTTTTCTGAAAGAATAAATCAATTTGATTAGGTTTTTGTTTTTGTTTTTACAAGTACTTACAGCTCATGAAACATTCTTCTGATCAATATATTGTGCTTTTATTTATTTTTATTTATTTTTTTATATATTGTGCTTTTAGAGAAGACGTCTGTTCTTTCCTCATTATAGTGAGGTATTACATGTGATAGGACATAAATTTATCTTAAATATTATTAAATTGAAATGATTAAGTATATAAATCAAAGGTTAATACAATGTTTTCGTGAAGTAGATGATTTTAATTGGAATCTAAGTAATTCCATATTTCTGTATTATAAATCAGGGATAAATAAATACTTGGATATCAGGGATCTTTGTATTTTCCATGGAAAGCTCCACATTATAGACAAAGAATGAAGCCCAGACAAGTTATGTACGAGTTCTCAGAACTCATTGTTGACAGAGTCAGAATTTGAACCCGTTTGAATGTTGATTCCACACGTGCTGGGAATATTGCCAAAGAGGGATCAGGAAGTCTGGTGGATGAATTGGAGCCCCGGATGGAGCTGCTTGGAGTTGGGTTTTGCTGTAATCTAACAGGTCTTATGTCTTCCTCTCTTGCACTCATCCCGCTTTCATGCCATCTGTCCTTTTCTCTTATGCTCCTTGCTTTGTTAGCGATACCACCTTTGCTTCATAAAAGTCATGGAGAAATGGAGTCATCTTAACTAGAATGAATTTCAGGTATCAGGTTCTAAAAACCTTAAAACATTTGTTTTTATCCATGCGCTGAGCAGTGCAAGGAATCTTGATGCCATCTTTCATCTTTTCTGTACCCTCTCCATCTCATTGTTTTTTGGAGTCCACCTCTGAACTGTTTCACAGATCTGTCACCCCTCGTCCCTTTATGCAGTCTTGCCTGGTTCCCAGCACTCATTGTCTCCTGCTGGATGGCCACTGGCCTCCTAAGTGTTCTTCCTACTCTCTCTTCTGTGAAAATTGATTCCTCCACATTAAGGGGTCTGTGAGCTTGGATGGGAAGGCATTATGTCTTTACTTTTTCTGATAGCTAACTGAAAATGAGCATCTGCTTCCAGTATGCATGAGACAATAATCCACAGTAATATTAGCAGTACTTGGGGCTTGGTCACCAATGGAGAGCACATATATTTTCATATCACATATTATAGTTGTCGAAGATAACTTGAATATCATCTATGCCCGTCACTACTTTGAAATTACAGTAGTTATTACATACTCTATTATATATTGTTATTTAATGTACTAATGAGGCACAAATTATCTGTTGAAAAATATTTGATTGCTGTATTTCCATATAGTCGGTTTTGCAATCTTACTTTATACATTGAAAAAGACTATTTTGTTATGAAAATGCTCTATAATTAGATAATGGTAGTAGTTGCACAACATTGTGAAATACTAAAAAACACTGAATCATACACTTTATTTAAAAAAATTTATTTTTAGGGTGTTATGCTGAGTGAAATAAGTCAATCAGAGAAAGAGATGTATCATATGACCTCACTGATATGAGGAATTCTTAATCTCAGGAAACAAACTGAGGGTTGCTGGAGTGGTGGGGGGTGGGAGGGATGGGGTGGCTGGGTGATAGACATTGCGGAGGGTATGTGCTATGGTGAGCACTGTGAATTGTGCAAGGCTGTTGAATCACAGATCTGTACTTCTGAAACAAATAATGCAATATATGTTAAGAAAAAAAAAGAAGAAGATAGCAGGAGGGGAAGAATGAAGGGGAATAAGTCAGAGGGGGAGACGAACCATGAGAGATGATGGACTCTGAAAAACAAACTGAAGGTTCTAGAAGGGAGGGGGGTAGGGGGAAGGGTTAGCCTGGTGATGGGTATTAAAGAGGGCACATTATCCATAGAGCACTGGGTGTTATGCACAAACAATGAATCATGGAACACTACATCAAAAACTAATGATGTAATGTATGGTGATTAACTTAACAATAAAAAAATTAAAGGAAAAAATAAAAAAATTATTTTTATTTTTATTTTTTTAAGTAGGCTCCATGCCTAACATGGGGCTTAAACTCACAACCTTGAGATTTAGTGTTGTGTGCGCTACCAACTGAGCCAGCCAGATACCCCAAATTATACACTTTAAAAGGGTGAATTTTATATATGTGAATTATAGCTCAGTAAAACTTTTTTTTAAAAAAATACTATTCTGATACTCATATGCTTCATCAGACTACCAGAAGCATCTGTAATATGTAAGGGAGTACAGATCCCTTTCTCTTTACTTGGAAATATACCCCGTCCTCCATTTACTACCTAGAAAACTAGGACATTTTTTTCCAAAACCCAGCTCAAATATTCCTTCAATAAAGCCTCTTCCAACTTGCCTGGGCAGTTGTTTCTGTGTGTTCTTGGGAAGGCTTACATGTATCTGTTATACTCTAAGCCCAGTGTTTGTTACTGACTATCTCAAGGTTGATAAGTCCTTCAGTGTGAGTATCATGACGAGATACGTCTTTGTATCCCTAGCACCTGGCATAATGCCTGGCTCCTAGTGGATGGTCCTCTGATGAGTAAATGAATAATGAGGCTTTAGTGTAGCATAAGAAATACATTAGGATGAAAATGTTAATGGAAGGAAAGAAGAATCATTTGTTTTTTTCCTCCTGAAATCAGCAAATAGACCCAACCTTCTAAAAAAGTACTTAACTGCTTTTTGCTAAGATCTTATTTTGGTCAACAATCCACTATATATTCAAATGTACCTCCCTTACCTTCAGGGAAATTAAAATTTAATCAGCAAGCCTCATCAATCTGTCCATCTGAAATGTGTGCATTTTATTGTATGTGAAGTATATCTCAAAAAATGAGAAAACATTGAAACAAATAATTAAAACATAGAGGAAAACATCTAAATGACACAAGGACCGAAGAACTAAACAACTAATCTAACCATCAGGAGAGATATTACAACGTAGCATATGCTCAAATGCCACATGAAAGCTGGAGAGAAAAGCTCTCTACGGGAAGAAGTCACTGGGAGCCACTCTATGGTGGTTGTTTTTCTGTGTAGTATTTGCATAGATAGAGGGGATGAAGCATTGCAGCCAGTGAGAGTGGTGAGGACCGAGGCTTGGAAGTGGGGAAGAGGAAAGCATGTTCAGGGAAGGAGTCATTAGGTGACTCAAGTGTATGGCAGATGAGAAACATAAAAGTCTTGAGAAAGAATAGAAGTGGTTGGGATGGTCAGGGAAGGTGTGAGCAAATCAGACTGCAGGGATTAGGGAACTGATTGGGTAAAGCAGGGTAATGGAGGGGTCAACAGAAATAACCGAAATACTGGTCTTGGTTAATTGGTAGAAAAATGATATTATTAACAAAATAGAGAAGGGAACAGGGCAAGTTGTTTTGGAGATGGTAAATAATTCTAATTCCCTTGGTTAAAAATAGCAAGCTTATTTGTACACCTAAGCATTTAAGAAAAAGTTACATATTTTTAGAAATGAGAGCATGTTTTCCATTTAATCACACTTTACAACATAAAATACATTTCTAAGAAAATATTGTGTTGTTAAAAAAATATAATTTTGCCATCTTTCATACATGTGTGTGTCTTTCTTTCTTAGACTCCAATATAGTTAATGATGTTGTACTTCGAGACTTACTGGCATATGTGTCTTCAAAACATTCCTATCTCAGGGATCTTCCTCAGAGGCAGCCCCAGAAAATGAACAGTATAGAATTTGTAGATTTGGAGCAGCTGCAGCCAGACGTATTGGTCCACGCAGTACTAAGAGTTATTGATATCACTGTACTGACAGGTAAATATTGGGGCACCGTCTTGATTTTAGATTATAAAATAATTAAGATACCAGACTTTTGTAGTGTATCATTTGGTTATCACTATTATATTTATCATTGGACATTAAACTAAGGTGTCCTATGTGATAAAGTAATGCTGGCTGAAATATTTCTTTTCCAGAGGCATTATACAGTTATAGAGGACAGAAGCAAAGGAAAGTTATGTTAACAGTGGAACAGGTCCAAGGTCAACATTATGTGCTTGTATTATGGGGTCCTGGAGCAGCCTGGTACCCTCAACTTCAAAGGAAAAAAGGTAAATATACCAAAAAGCATTTAACCTATTTATAGTTAGGTAAATGATTAATGCTTATGAGCTGAAGATGAAGAGCATCTTAAGAGATTAAGATAGACTACATTCAAAATAGTAGGTGATCATAATTGAATATTCATCTTTGGATTTCTTCTGTTATGATTTTATACCTCCTGTAAGCAATTTCGTGATCTAAAAAGTCCTCTCTAATTAACAGAGGCAAAAGAAAAGTTTCCATTTATTCCCAGGTTTACTACTTTACCTTTTTAGTGAAGATCTTATCTCCTTCAGGAAACGTTCTTTAAAAATTGAAATCTGGAGACACTTCTACAATTTTTGTCCAGCCAAAGTACTCTGATAAATAAACGTCTCTCTGGTTATAAGGCAGATGTTAGGGGAGCTGCATTAACCCTTTCAAGTCGCAGTGTTACTGTTTTGTAAATTAGTGTCTTCCAGGTTTTTATACCAGTTGTTTTAAAAGTGTGGACTATTAGCCATCCATAGAATGTTCATGTTTAAAATATGACCCGTGACGCCATTTTTCTTTAAAGCATGAGTTACTAATAATTTATGATGAATTTAATTAAATGGCATTGATGTTTCAATAAAATGGTATAATATCTTGATTTCAGTATTATATTGTGAGATCCTTTTGTTGTAACAGTCAGAAATAGTTTAATTAGTGGCTTGCGAGTTATTTTGTCCTGCTGAATTAATCCAGAGATTGGTTAGGTGTGTGACTCATTCTTTTTTACCTGAAAGAGTTAATGCCTCTTCCCCAAATTCTACCTACAAAATGGTTATCTAAGGATAGGATCTGTCACATTCTCTCTCTTAATCATTAATAGCCTATAACCAGGATTTGAGGTAAGTCTGACTTTTGACTTTTATGTTAGGATCAAACAATGGCAAATATTTGTTCAGTTGAGAAATCTGACAAACATGTGTCAGTGGTAGACTGACCATAGTTATTGACCACTATATCATAGCTGGGAACATGAGTCTAGTGCATGTGGAACAAAATGTAGGTCAAAGGTGCTATTCCATTTGCGAAGGAGATGTAGCAGACTGCTCCATGCTTACTATGAATATTCTTCTAAAAGTTGTAGTTATTTGGCTAATAGAAGAGACATTCTAGTTCTCTCTAGACAATTCTATGGTATTTAGGTTAATACTGGAAATTTGTGAATCCAGGAATTAAGATATAGTTGTTCTTTGTTCATTCATTCATTCAGCATACTTTTATAATCATCATTTTTAAGTTTTGACATCCACCTCAATACCTCAAAATTATTCTTTTCAAAATGGGAAAGTACCAATTTTGAAGGCTCATCTAAGTAAGTGATTCTACTTTCAGAAACTGTTAGCATTTTATCTATTCATTTAGTATTTCTTGAGGTGTTCTCTGTATTAACCTCCATACTGGGCACTGGTTTTCCTTGTTCCTGAAGATAACATTGAGATGATATAATCAGAAATGATCATCAAGTAGTCATTGTTGAATACTGGAGATCACAGAGTTGATGTTTTGGGGAGAAATAATAAGAAATCCCCAATTCACATTCTTTCAAAATATGCATGGGAATTTGTAGCAAGGACTGATCACAGTTTAGGTCCTAATGAGGGTGGACTAGGGGCATACACTACACTTCTTAGGAATAATTGGGTACATAAAAGAAGCTATGCAGAACTAAATGCCATTCCAATGCAATATTCTGAAAGTATTTAACAGAAGTCTAATATTTTAAAAATATAACAAATTATAATAAAGTACTCTGTGACATTACTAATTAAGCACAGAGTAATGCAAATGATCCCAACGTTTGTAATTATACTTAATGCAAAATCATAGTTATGTCTGTATGGAGGTTTGAAATCTATTCACATCCTTAATTCATGATTCAAATATAGAAATGTATTAGAAATTGTCTCAATACCAGTCTCCTTCAGACCTACTGGTCTAATCTGCACACGACTCCTTTCTGTTACTTGATTTTGCCAATCTTTTTCCTGCCTTGGGATCTTAAGTTTACATGTTTCCTCTGCCTAGAGTGCTCCCCCCTACAGGTCCCCGCATGGATGTCTCCTTCATTTCTCAGCTTCAATGTCATATCCTCAGGGGGGCCTCACACATACATAATCGTTATCAGATTCGCTCTTTGAGGTCCATTCGTGCCACTTAACACAATCAGGATTATCCAGCTTATTCGCTTGCTTGCTAATTAACTAATTTTCTCCATAGATTATAAATTCTGTGAATACAAGCATTCTGCTAAGCTTGTTCAGCCCTGTATCCTCATTACACAGCACTGTGCCTGCCCTCGTAGTGCTTTCTTTGTGAATGAACGAATGAAGAATAAAATACAGATCAAGCAACCACTCAAAGTCTCCAGTCTTGAAGGAATAAGAGACTCAAGTTTGAGGAGGGAATAACTTTGTTTCAAATGATAATACAAAATCACCAGTTTGAAAATGCATGCACACAAGGTTTTGGCAACGTGTGGAATGTATTAACAAATTATATTTAAACTTGGGCACAGAGGGCTTTTAGTGAACTGAACTAGAACTCTTCTCTGGTTAACTTAACCAATTAAGGGTCATATATTTGAAGTACACAGGAGTATCTCATGGTACATAGGGTAAGAGTGCTGATGGGTTCAGGGGTACTTAAGAACCAGGAGCTGAAATGCTTTGTGAGTCCCGGGCAGCTTCTCCAGCTGTCTGCTTTATTCACTCAGTGCAGACTTTTTCTGCTTTTCAATCATATGGAAGGCAGCAGAAGATGCTTACTCTGTAGCTCCTGATTTTCCTTTTCCTTTTAAGAGACCAGTCCATTTCCAAATTCCCAGCAAAGAAAATCTGATTGCCCAGACTGAATTTGATTCAATCAACTATGGCCTCGGGGACAGGGTGGCAAAGTAGAATAGGAATGCCTGAGCTTGTTTCAGAGGGTCAGGGAACAGATGAGAGGGTCACTTGTGGTCTGGGTGGACACACAAAGGTATTCGCCACCAAAGATATGAATGTTCACTAGCCCAGAAAGACATATGTGATGTTACTATTTAGTTTAAAAAGTAGATTATAAAATTTCATGTATAATAGGATCCCATTTTAATAAAGCAGGTAGGTGAGTATGTGTATACATGAAAAATTTGGAAATACAGATATTAAAATGCTAGCAATGGCTACGTGTGTTTTTTTCTTTATGCCTTTAGTTTGAATTTTGCACATGTGTGAATCTGCATTTATTTTTTACACATTTAGTAAAAACTTCAAACTTAGTAAATAGAGAATAATATAATGAAGTACCCATTATAGTACCCATTATACCCATTATATTAGAACATTGGCCAATCATATTTCATCTATTGCTACTCTTTTCTTTTACTGTATAATATTTTATAGTAAATATATTTTATTTATAATTAAATCAAGCTTTTTCCTTTTGAAAAGAAGAGCAGATAAGGTTTGAAATAGCTAGTTAACAATTTGAAAACAAAATAGAATTAAATTTATACTTCATATTTATGCCAAAATAAATTCCAGATGCATTAGAGATTCAATTTTTTTTTTTTTTAAGAAAGAAACAGTAGTAGAAGAAAATATAAGAAAACTTATTTGGAATGTAAAGATTGGTAGGTTAAACAAAATGCAGCAACAGGAACTATACATAAAAATCACCATATACCAAATTACAAGGCAAGTGAAAAACCAGGAAAAAAAAGTTGCATTTTGTCAGAAAATAATGCAATAAACAAAAGACAAATATCTGTAAGTATAAATGGGCCATAGATATGAACAGGAAGTCCCCAAAGAAGAAATAAAAATGGCCAATGAATGTATGAAAAAAATTTACTTATTAGTAATTGAAGGTACACAAAATAATGACAGTACATGATTTTTCTCCTGAGTAATTGATAGAGAACATAAAGGGGAACAGCCACTCTCATGAACTATTGGAAATGTAAATTGGCAAAATCTTTCTTGAGGACAACCGACAGTGCTTTATGAAAACTGAATTTGGAACCCTCAGTTTGTTTTTCAGAGTCCATCATCTCTCATGGTTCGTCTCCCCCTCTGACTTACTCCCCTTCATTCTTCCTCTCCTGCTATCTTCTTCTTTTTCTTTTTTCTTAAAATATGTTGCGTTATTTGTTTCAGAAGTACAGATCTGTGATTCAACAGTCTTGCACAATTCACAGTGCTCACCGTAGCACATACCCTCCCCAATGTCTATCACCCAGCCACCCCATCCCTCCCACCCCCAACCACTCCAGTAACACTCAGTTTGTTCCTGAGATTAAGAATTCCTCATATCAGTGAGGTCATATGATACATGTCTTTCTCTGATTGACTTATTTCACTCAGCATAACACCCTCCAGTTCCATGCACGTCGTTGCAAATGGCAAGATCTCATTCCTTTTGATGGCTGCATAATATTCCATTGTGTATATATACCAAATCTTCTTTATCCATTCATCTGTCGATGGACATCTTGGCTCTTTCCACAGTTTGGCTATTGAAAACCGAATTTGGAATACCTTTGGCCTAATAATTACACTTCTAGGAATTTATCATGGCTATGCATAAAGACGTAGCTAAAAATATATTTATCACAGTACTGTTTATAATAGTAAAAAAACAAAAAATAACCAACATGCCCCCAAACAAGGAATTGCTGTATTAATTTTTAAGATTTTGGCATATCTGTGCCAAAGTATGGGCATGTTATGCAGTATTTTAAAATAATATAGAATAATACTTAATGACATATAAATCCAGTTGAAAACAACTGCATGTCTACTAAAAGTGTTAATTGTGTTTATCTGGGGGTGTTGAGATTATGGCTGTTATTTATGTACTTTAATCTGATTTCTAAGCATGTATTTTGTAATAAGACAAGCAAACTATTTTAAAAATAGTGATTGGTTTTAAGCAGTGACTTGGAATATATATGCTTTAGCTCTTTCTAATGATGCTCTGTCTATACAGACTTACTGTATAGACTTACTTGTTTTAAATTCTGAATTTTTGGGGGCGCCTGGGTGGCTCAGTCATTAAGCGTCTGCCTTTGGCTCAGGTCATGATCCCAGGATCCTGGGATGGAGCCCCGCATCGAGACCCCTCATCGAGCCCCCTCATTGAGCCCCTGCATCGGGCTTCCCGCTCAGCGGGAAGCCTGCTTCTCCCTCTCCCACTCCCCCTGCTTGTGTTCCCTCTGTCTCGCTGTCTCTCTTTCTGTCAAATAAATAAATAAAATCTTCCCCCCAAAAAAAGATTCTGCATTTTTCAAGAAGAAACTAAGGAAAAAAAACTAAGGAGGCAGTGTGGGGGAGGGGTGTGAATTAGCTTTATGGCCTGAAGTAAGTGAAAACTAAAAGAACAGCTGTTATTACTAGAAAACTCAGTGCTAAGAGATCTTTTGTTTTATTAGAATTTAAAGTTGAATTTATTAATATAGAATAGGATTATTTGGCAGGAAGCTCTGTGCCACTGCAGTTTTAAGGATTACAATTATGACTGAGGGAACTGAAAATACATGCAATTGTCTCTCAGTGCTATTTTTTTCTGTCCTTGAAAAATTAGCTAAATAAGAAAACAAAGATGTTGAAAAATCAGTGAGAGATATTGATTATGGCAGACACGTGTCCATTTCTATGCCTTACTTGTTTTAAAAACCTTTGCCTGTAGATATCGAAACAGGAATTAGCTACTCTGAAAAGCAGTTGGTTAAGATAAATGATGACTGTTTAAGAGACCAAGAAATCTTTAGAGAAAATTTTTATTAAAATTATTTCCAGCATCCTTATACTATTGCCCTAAAACAGCATAATTCACATTTTGTCTTTTAATACTCAAATTCCTTAGAGTGGTAAAAGTTGTATTTAATTGATTTAATTGGATCAATCTATTTAATCTGATTCTGAGTCTAGATTATTTCCTTTTCGGTGACTTTTTGTTTCTGTTTGTTTGTTTAAGATTATATTTGGGAATTTAAATATCTTTTTGTTCAGCGCAATGACATTCTAGAAGGCCTAGAATTGCATACAACATTTTGGTCATCCTGTGAGTGCCTGTTTGACGATGATATAAGGGCAATTACATTTAAAGCAAAATTTCAAAAAAGCATGCCCTCCTTTGTGAAGATGTCAGATTTAGCAACACACATGGAGGATAAGCGTTCAGGTAAGATCTTTATATACGTAAGATATTGCTTGTTTTAATATAAGTAAGGGAAGCTACCATTTATGGGAAAAATGTATAATTAAATATGAAAGTAAAATATAGATCACTGTAAACAGCTCAACCAGATATTTGTACAGCTTGTTAGCTTTCTGCCTATAATCCTTTGAGGTTAATCTGTAATTATTAGGGATCACTTAAAAATACTTTTTGCATATATGTGCAAGCAGCTTATCACTTAATAAACCAGAAATAGAAAAATGACCCTAACCAGAGTCACTGTTGAGATAAGCATTTTATCAAGTTATTAAACTGTTACCTATACATGGTTGTTAAAATTTAGCATTGATACAGAATTCATGCAATTTGCTTACTACTTTAGTAAAATGTAATAACATACTTCTTGAACTCACATATTTGTGTGTGTGTGTGTGTATGTATGTGTATAAAATTCATCCTTGGAAACATACTACATAGAAGATTGCCTTTGGTGATGGATTTTATACACATACTCACACACTTTCCATGAACTTAATACCATTTAATTAATTTTGAGTGCAGTAGTAAAAGGAATATGTCTTAGGTTCAATATGCCATACGCTTTGGAATGAAGAGAGTAAAATAGTGAAAATAACTAGATAAATTGATACAATTTTAGTGGGAAATACTTTTCACTAAATTACATTCCTAAGTACAGAGATGATGCTAAAAGTATGCTAACTCCAAGTTAAAGGAGTAACCAATTAAACAGCATTTGAAGCTATTTTTAAGGTTGCTAAATGCCAATAATCAGTAAATGCCAGTGATTATCAATTTTGGAAACTAACAGAATGTTTTCTGGTGGCTATTATAGCAGTTGTTTTTAGAGGGGAAATGAGGGTTGAAAAAAATAGGAGGTATCTATAGGTTTATTGTTACATAATTTAAGTTTTTTAATGAAGAGGGAAATGTTTGGTCAGAATTCTTTCTCAGAATTTGTATAAATAAGATTATCATTTTTGGTGCTTTTATAGGTTAAATTATTAGACTAACTCAGGAACTTTGGATTTTGGTACTAACTTTTAATTTTATTCTCCCATTTGCATGAATAATTTTCTGCATTCTTATAGATGGTTTTAGATTTTATTAAATGCTAAATGTGGTTTAAGTGAAATAGGATTATTTTTACAATGTCCCAAAATGAAATGAGTTGGAACTCCTAAGAGATCACAGGCTAAGATTCTCAAGTATATTTCTGGGACTTTTTGCTAGCATGCTATGCCCCCTTTTGGTACATCCATGAAAATGTAAAAGTTGTGTCATAAGCCGGGAAGATATCTCAGAGTGCTTTTCTAATATGGCTCAGAGTGTCACATTTAAAAAGATTTTTAATAAAAGTTTTTAGGGTATAATTTTTGTACAATAAACCACCCTTACTTGAAGTATCCACATTCACACTGGTGAGTTTTGACACAAGACCCATGAAACCATCACCACAGTCGTGAAACCATCACCAGTTTGCCCCTTTGTAATCTCTCTTCCCTGTGTACCTGCCCTCCTGATCCTTCGAGGCAATCAATCTGTCACTGTGGATTAGTTTGAATTTTCTGTGATTTTATATACATGGAATCTACATTATATACACTGTTTTGTTTGGCATCTTTAATTAAGCAAGTTCTTTTGAGACATATCTGTGCTTTTGTGCATATCAGTAGTTCATTCCTTTTTATTCTCTTGTACGAACATACCATGATGTGTCTATTTGTCCATCTGTTGATGGACATCTGGGTTGTTTCCAGTTCTTGGCTCTTATAAGTAAAGCTTCTATAAACATTCATGTACAAAGTGTTATATGGACATAGTCTTTCTTTATTCATGAGTAAATACCTAGTAGCTGAATAAGCTGAAGGATTATATGGTAGGTATATGTTTAATTTTTTAAGAAACTGCCAAACTGTTTTCCAAAGTAGTTGTAGCGTTTTGTATTTCCACCAAGCAGTGTGTGAAAGTTCTGTTTTTCCCATATCCATGTCAACACTTGGTATGAACCTTCTTTTTAATTTCTGTAACAATAGGTCATTGTGGGTTTATTTTTTATTTTCCTAAAAGATTTTATTTATTTATTTGATAGAGACACAGTGAGAGAGGAACACAAGCAGCGGGAGTGGGAGAGGGAGAAGCAGGCTTCCCACAGAGCAGGGAGCCCGATGCAGGGCTCAATCCCAGGACCCCGGGATCATGACCTGAGCCAAAGGCGGAGGCTTAACAACTGGGCCACCCAGGCGCCCGGGTCATTGTAGTTTTAATTTGCATTTCCCTATTGGCTGATGATATTGAGCATCTTTTCATGTACTCAGTTGCCATCCACGTGTCTTCTTTGATGAAGTGTCAACTGAAATCTTTTGCCCATTTAAAAACAAAGGGTTGATTATTTTCTTATTATTGATTTTTGAGAGTTCTTTATATTTTGGGTAAAAATTATTTGTTAGATATAGGCTTTGCAGATATGTTCTTCCAGTCTGTTACTAGTCTGTTCATTCTCTTAACCAGGCTTTTTGAAGACCACAAGTTTCGAATTTTGATGAACTCCATTTTATCCATTTGTTCTTGTATGGTTTCCTATTTAGAAAATCTTTGCCTTACCCAGCGTCACAAATATTTATCTCCAATGTGTTGTTTTAGAAGTTTTAGAGTTTTAGGGTTCACATTTGGGTCCATGATCTATTTTGAGTTAATTTTTATGTATGGTGTGATGCATGGTTGGAAGTTCTTTTCCTTTTTGCATATGAATATCCAGCTGTTTAAGCCCCATTTCTTGAAAAGATTACTATTTTTCCAGCGAATTGCTTTTACCTCTTTGTCAAAATCAGTTGTTCACACATAAATGATCTATTTTTGGGCTTTCTCTTCTATTTTATTGATCTATTTGTTTATCTTTATACCAGTACCACACTATTTTGACTACTGTAGCTTTTATGATATGCCTTGAAGTCAGATATTTTTAGCCTTCCAACTTTGTTCTTTTTCAAAATGGTTTTGGCAATTCTAGGTACTTTGCATCTCCATGTGAATTTTAGGATTAGTTTGTTAATTTCTAGAAAAAAGTCTGATGGGATTGTTTTGAAGCTATGTATCAATTTAAGGGAGAATTGACATAATATTGAGTTTGCCAACCTAAGAACAAGATACATCTTTTATTTCTCTTACCTGCATTTTGTAGTTTGCAGAATATAGGGCTTTCATATCTTTCCTCAGGCTTCTATTTTCTGCTATTATAATTGGTGCTTTTTAAAATTTCAGTTTCAATTGTTTGTTGCTATTATATAGAAGTATAGTGATTTTTATATATTGATCTTGTCTTTTGTAACCTTGCTAAACTCACTAAGCTCAATAGTAACTCTGTGGTAGATTTGAATTTTCTACATCTGTGAAGAAAGACAGTTTTATTTTTTCCTTTCCAGTCTGGATGCCCCTTATTTATTTTTCTCGCCTCTTTGCACTTGATGACTTCTCTAATATAATATTGAAAAAAGTTGTAAGAGCACACGTTTTTACCTTTTTTCTGATTTTAGGGAGAAAACATTCACTCTTTCATTATTAAGTATGACGTTGGCTTACGGTTTTCCTCAATGCTTTGTATAAGGCTGACAAAGTTGCCTTTTATTCCAAGTTTGCTGAAAAAATTTTTTTCTTATAAAGAATCGGTGTTAGAATTTATCAAATGCTCTTTCTCCATCGATTGAGATGATCATAGAGTTTTTCTTTTTCAATCTTTTAATGTAATTACATTGATTGCTTTTTGAATGTTAAAACAGCCTTGCATTTATGGGATAAACCCCACTTGGTCATGATGTGTCCTTTTTCTATGTTGCTGGATTTAATTTGCTAACATTTGTTAAGAATTTTTATGTTTGTGTTCATGAAGGATATGTGTAGCTTTTTCTGCTTTTGGAATAGAATTAGAATAATGCTTATGGAATGAGTTGGGATATAGTTCCTCCTCTCCAGTTTTCTGGAAGAGTTTGTTTAGAATTAGAATGTTTTCTTCCTTACATGTTTGGTAGACTTTCTCAGTGAAGCCCTGTGGGCCTAGAGTTTTACTTATTGGAAGGTCTTAACTACACACAGGCAGTGGAGGAGCTCCGTTTAACTTGGTGTCATGGAGAAGTCAGCTCTGTTAGCTATTGCTTACACTGAGCAGCTACCTCCTGGAATTGAAGACGTAGAATTAGATTTTAAAATAAAAATCACCATCATGAACACTAACAAAACAGGTGCTCACAGCTCTGAAGATTTGGTTTGGGGAATGAGGCTGGGGATTGGGAATATCCTTGCAAATGCTGGAGATGGGCCCCCCTATTGGTAAACCATGCAAAAACTTTGTGTTGTTACAGTCAGTCCCTGGTAGACTGTTCAGAGAGGGCCTTTTAGCCAATTTTCATTCTCTTTATGTTCAGCTCTGAGGGCTGAATTCATAGTTTCTGTGTTTTTTTTTTTTTTTAAGATTTTTATTTATTTATTTGACAGAGACACAGTGAGAGAGAGGGAACAAAAGCGGGGGGGGGGGGCGGTGATGGGAGAGGGAGAAGCAGGCTCCCTGCTGAGCAGAGAGCACCATATGGGGCTCGATCCCAGGACTCTGGGATCATGACCTGAGCGAAAGGCAGACGCTTAATGAGTGAGCTACCCAAGTGCCCCTGTTTATGTGCTTTTTTTTTGTTTTGTTTTGTTTATGTGTTTTTAAGACAGAAATGGAGAGAGCATGTGGGAGTACAAGTAATTTTTTCTTAACCTGCTTCGTAGTTAAATAAAAGGAGTGAGATAGGGAGCTCAACATGGGAGAATTTCCTAAGAGGGTCTGCTGTCTTAACAAAGCTTAACAGAAGGGGGGTGGGGTGAAGCTGTGCCCGGCTCCTCGTCAAGAAATGAAAGTGCTTACTCAGCATCCGGCCCTGCCATCAGCCGAATGTCAGTGCCCAACAGGCTGTAAGCCCCTTGGAAGCAGAGTCCTCATTAATCATGAACTTTTAACTCTTATAGAAGTGTGTAAGTTTATAAAATGTGTGGAGTGATGTTAACGTTCTTCTAAAAGACTGAATTCTTTCATTAATTTCTTAGTGATACAACATGTCTGCGGCAAGGTGTGATATGGAGTGTGCTGTAGTTTATTGGGTATGCTAACCACTACACACTCTTGTAATTCGTGTAGGGATACAGGGCATGATTAGAAAAGATGATAAAACAATCTTTGGGCGCCAAAAGACTAAAGCAAACAGAAGGACTTAAGAAGAGGAAAGTCACCATTAGTGGGACTCTTAAGGAGATAACCCGAAAAGAGAATAGGTAGCCAGAAGGATGAGTTCCTGACCTGAAGTGTAGCACCTGCTAAAAGGATGAAGAAAAGCAAATCCAAAGGCTTAAAAAGGGCTTTAAACTGAATCTGGAGAGGAAGGGAGAAGATAAACTCAGATGAACTCACAGACCTTACAGCAAAGGTAAATTAGAAAAAAAGAATGTCTGGCAGATAAAGAAACTCAGTATTTGTTTAACAGGTGAATGCATGAGCCAGTGAGAGTGAATGAACATGCTCAAGGTCCTGGTGAGTCACACATTTCGTAAATGAGGACTCTCGGTGCTCACGTGCTCTAGAACCAATGCCCAGAGTATGGATGGTGATGGGCGGGAAACTGAAAAAAAAAAAAGTTTAAAAAGAGGATAAGCTTAGTGGTATGTTTGTTTTGGATAAAGTAGAGACTGGAAGAATAACTGACCTGCTATTTGACTTTCAGCAATGATCAATTAAAAAGAAGGATGGGAAGAGAGAGGGTATGTTAGCTAGTTTCAAGTGTTTCGAAGGGATTTCTACTGAAAGAGGGAGAGACCTTATTTTGCATGATTCCAGAGGACAGGGAGGAAGAAAACGCCCATCTGTGCAGCCAAACTAGCCAAATAAATCTTCACTCTTAGTTATGGGCAACGGCAGCTTACCTCTCGCTTTTCAGAGTAAACACCGAAGCTGCAAGCGGGTGAAATTGTCCAGGGAAAGAGTGAAGGAAGGAAGACCAAGAACGAGTCCTCAGGCATATCCTTTACTATAAGTGACTCAATCAAAATCAGAAGTTAAAGTTATGATTTTGGTCCTATAATTTAGACACACTTCTTTTTGTCTCTTGTAGGAGTGATTCTGATCAAAGCCCAGATTTTAGAGTTAGTGATTCCTATGCCAGCAGCTCAGAAGATAGCTCTGAATGCCCGCAGCTCTCTGAGGAGCATCTTCTCTTCTCTTCCGGACATTGTGTATGCCGGCTGTGCAAAATGCGGACTAGAACTGGAAACAGACAAGAACAAGATCTATAAACAGTGTTACAGCTGCTTGCCCTTTACTATGAAGAAGCTATACTACAGGTGAGGCAGCCAAGCAAGCCATTGGGATGGAAAAGATTTATTATTATATGACTGGATATTACCGAAAAATTGCATATATCAATTCTTACTTTCTAATGAGAACTAACTAGAACTAATCCAAGAGAATAAAAATTTTCCCCTGAGTGACAAATGGCTATTTATGAAAGCAAAAATTGTCCAGTAATCATAACAGGGATTTTTAAAAGCAGTAATTGGAAGACTTACTATCGTCAAGCAGCTATATTGAAGAAAATTTTTATTTGGTTTATATTTTTAACCAAGATCTAAATGGCTCATAAGAAACTGACTTCCATACTTTAGCATGTAATTGGAATTTAAAGGTTAAAACTGTTCTATGATCTAACCTCTCAGTGTGGAAGCTAATAAGATGTTTAACTTTTCTGTGCCTCAGTTTTCCCAGCTTCACATTAGAAATTAAGGACTGCAAATGTTCTTTGGTAAAATTGCAGACCAGCTCAGTGAAAAACACATTTTTCAAATAATAAATGTTCAAAAACTTGGAAAAATTTTTTCTTTTTACCTTGTAAATTGCATGCCTTTATAAAATAGCCATCAGTGTTTTATGCTCTTTTCTGTTTCTAAATACTGCAGTATCTAAAAACTAAATGCAGATGTATTCAGCATGTTATCATGGTGTACGTTAAGAATATTAACAGAAGCTTAATCCATAAACCTTATTTCCCTTTATATATGTGTGTTATAAATAAGTAAATAGATTTTGCTCTTACTCTGGAAGTTGCTTGTATGAAAAGAAAATTAAATTAAGATTCATGGTGTATAAGAAATAAAGTTAATTAGGAGCCCCTGGGTGGCTCAGTTTTTGAGCGTCTGCCTTTGGCTCAGGTCATGATCCCAGCGTCCTGGGATCGAGCCCCGCATTGGACTCCCTGCTCAGCGGGAAGACTGCTTCTCCCTCTCCCACTCCCCCTGCTTGTGTTCCCTCTTTCACTGTCTCTCTATCAAAAAAATAAATAAAACTTTTTTTTTAAAAAAGAGATTTGTTTATTTATTTGAGAGAGAGAGAGAGAGAGAGCATGTGGGGGGCAAGGGTCAGAGGGAGAAGCAGACTCCATGCTGAGCAGGGATCCCGATGCGGGACTCGATCCTGGGACTCCAGGATCATGATCTGAGGTGAAGGCAGTCACCCAACTAACTGAGTCACCCAGGTGCCCATAAATAAATAAAATCTTAAAAAAAAAAGAAATATAGTTAATTAAAATCGATATCTTATCAGTAGTTAAGGCTCCTTACAGAATGTGTGTGTTATTTTATGTCGTTCTTAATGTTCCTAATCAATGTAATTATTTATTGGACAAAAATGTTACTCAGTAAATATCCCTTATGGAGAAGACAGACTTTGAATCTTCAGTCTAAAGAATAACTATTCAAGGGGTGCCTGGGTGGCTCAGGTGGTTAAGTGTCTGCCTTCGGCTCAAGTCATGATCCCAGGGTCCTGGGATCAAGCCCTGCATCGGGCTCCGGGCTTGGCGGGGAGCCTGCTTCTCCCTCTGCCTGCCGCTCCCCTTGCTTGTGCTCTCTCTCTAACTATCTCTCTCTGTAATAAATAAATAAAATCTTTTTTAAAAAAAAGAATAACTATTCAAGAGAAGGACTTCACAGATCATTATCACCTGACTATGGTATAACCTAGTTTGAGGTATATAAGGTATAGTTCAAAACTATACTGCATTGAAGATGTGCAAATTTTTTGTGTTGCTAGAATGTTGATAGACATGCTAAAGCAAGAGTTGTTTTTGTTTATTTATTTTAAAAAGCCTTTAAATTGTTTTTAGGTTTAGGATTCAGATTATTTGACTTCCTTAAAAAGAAATTTTTTTTGTTAAAAAGAAAATCTGAGGTTAAATGACAGATTTCTTCAAATTATCAAGTACCGTGATTCAGAAATCATTTCATGAGTCATCACTTACGATTCTACATAGGTCAGTAGCAACCTGAATAAGAAAAAGCTCTGATTGCTTATTTTTTCAAAGGCCCAAACAATCAAGTTGGGTATCCACATATGTTCACCCAATATTTAGTAATGTGGATGTTATGCTGATTGATGTAAGCATATTTTTGTACTCAAAAACTCTTATGAAATACTTAATGAACATTTGTATGGCATGGCAGTCCCATGCTGTGAGTGGACCAGTTACATTTGATGTTGGTTGTTTTTAACTTGGAACTGATTTTCCAGTGGCAACATTAGATACCATGGTTTGACTCTCATTCCCACCTGCAAAAAGGATTACCTATGTGCTGGTGACTTTTGTTGGCATCTCCACCCTGGTTTTCTCCTCCAAGCCCCAGTATCCAGATACTCAATTCCCCACTTGAATGTGTTTCAGGCATCCCACACTAAAAATACCCGAGCTCAGCTCTCTTATTGTTCCTGTCTATATCAAACTTGGTTCTTCCCATTTTCATACTTCCCAGTACATGGCATCACCGTCTACCCCATTAACCTAGAAACCTGCCCATAGCCCTTGAATCATTCCTTTTTCCTTACCTCCCGTGTCTAATCTACTGGCAAGTCCTATGAATTTTCATTCAAAACCGTATCACAAATTCGCCCGCTTTTTTCCATCTCCACTGTTCCTTAACCTCAGGGGCACTAGTGACATTTCAGGCAGGACAGTTACTCATTGTTAGGGTACTCCACACATTGCAGAGCATGTGGCATCTTGTTTACTTGGCCTTGCCAACACCCCAGTTATCATGAAACCAGAACATGGAGTCAGGACCTCCTGGTCCCGAAGCACATGGGCCTAGTCCGGGCTGCTGCTAGGTCTTGCTCCAACTATCAGAGTGGTGGTCTCTTAGTTGGCCTCCTTCGGCCTTGGCCCTCTTCCGTCCATTCTCTGCACAGCTGACGGGGTGATCACTGCCTGACTTAAACACCTCCCGGTAGTTTCCCTTTACACTCTGCTGCTATGCTTTCCCTTACTCCCTGTGTTCCAGGCCCCTGGCCTTCTTTCGGTTCCTTGGTCACCCTGATGTTTTTCTCCTTGCACTTTCTTGCGTGTTCTTCCCTCCGCCCGACTCCACATCTTAGTTTTTGGTTTTGTTTTTTTTTTTAATTTGACAGAGAGAGACACAGTGAGAGAGGGAACACAAGCAGGGGGAGTGGGAGAGGGAGAAGCAGGCTTCGCTTCCCGCTGAGCCAGGAGCCCAATGTGGGGCTCGATCCCAGGACCCCGGGATCATGCCCTGAGCCAAAGGCAGACACTTAACGACTTCACATCTTAGTTTAAATGGCACTACATCAGAGGTACCTTCTTTTCTTTAAAGATTTTTATTTATTTATTTGAGAGAGAGAGAATGAGAGATAGCACGAGAGGGAAGAGGGTCAGAGGGAGAAGCAGACTCCCTGCTGAGCAAGGTGCCCGATGTGGGACTCCATCCTGGGACTCCAGGATCATGACCTGCGCCGAAGGCAGTCGCTTAACCAACTGAGCCACCCAGGTGTCCTCAGAGGGACCTTCTTAATCCCCCCTGTATTTTCTGTGACAGCACCGTGTGTGTACTCACTGCAATTTGTACTTGTCTAGTTGTACGCCGTCTTCTCTAAAAAACATCTTTACTGGGCTAGAATTCACGTAGCATCGAACGAACGCATCTAAAATGTATGATCCCTGGTTTTAGTATATTCACAGGGTTGTGCACTGTCCCCACGGTCCATTCTTAGAGACATTTTCATCACCCGGAAGCCCCATTTCCTTTAGCAGTCAATTCCCCCCTCCCCCCAACTCAGCATTTGGATTGGTCCCACATTTTGGGTGTTAATGAATAGTACTGCTGTGAAGATTTGTGTACAAATTTTTAGTGGATATGTGTTTTAGAATCACTGGGTTGTATGGTAATTCTATGTTTAATTTTTCGAGGAACTGCCAAACTGGTTTCCAAAACTGTTGCACAACTTTACATTCTCACCAGGAATATATGAAGTTTCTGTACGTCCTTGCCAACATTTTTTATTATCTGTTTTTCTTTTTGTTGCTTGTGCTTTTCAAAGGTATCTGTATCTAAGGAAGGTATCATTCCTAAGCCAAGATCATGGAGATTTACTCCTTTATTTTCTCATAAGAATTTATAGTTTTAACTCTTTATGTAGAGGTCCATGATGTATTTTGAGTTAGTGTAAGGAAGGGGTCGAGCTTCATTTTTTTACGTGCGAATATCCTGTTGTCCCAGCATGATTTGTTGAAAAGAAGATTCTATCCCTGTTGAATTATCTTGGCACCATTGTTAAAACGTTTATTGTCTTTTTGTCCCACTAAACTCTTATGCTCCTTGAGTGAAGGAACCAGATCTGTCTTGTTTGCTATTGTGTACCCAGTGCTTAGCACAGTACTTGGCACATGGTACGTATTGAGTATGTAGTTGGTGAAATAAAGAATGGAGGAACAGGGAGAGCATGGAGAGAGTGGAAAGACCTAGAATCATCATGTGGGTTAAAGGGGAAGTAGGTTTTTTGAGGGAAAATCAGTAGTGTTGTTTGAGCTGTTAAACGAAATTCCTCTATATTAATGAGTCTGTTTCTACAATCTGTTCTCAGGCCCCCTGGGTGGTTCATTTGGCTGAGGGTCTGACTCTTGATTTCAGCTCAGGTCATGATCTCAGGGTCATGGGATCGAGCCCTGTGTCGGGTTCTCCGCTCAGCACAGAGTCTGCTTGTTCCTCTCCCTCTGCTCCTCCCCCCACTTATACTCCTTCTCTCTTTCTCTCTCTCTCTCTCTCTCTCAGACTACAAAAAAAAAATCTGATCTCAATTTATTTTTAATAATTAATCTTTAAAAGAGGTAATATGACCATGGTAAAAATGCAAACTGGAGAGGAAGATATAAAGCAACAAGTTTCTCCCCATCCACCCCTCCACCATTGGTGCTACTTCCTTGCTCGTAGGAGGTTTTTGTATATTCTTCATACTAGCACGTGTATATCCCTTTCTTTAAAAATACATAGATATGGGGCTCCTGGGTGGCTCAGTCAGTTAAGCGTCTGCCTTTGGCTCAGGTCATGGTCCCAGGGTCCTGGGATCGAGCCCGGAGTCTGGCTCCCTGCTCAGCTGGGGGGAGTCTGCTTCTCCCTCTGCCTCTGCTGCTTCCCCTGCTTGTGCTTTCTCTCTCTCTGTCTGTCTCTCTCTCTCTGTCAAATAAATAAATAAAATCCTTAAAAAAATAAAAATAGAATATTATCCATTTTGTTTTATTCATAGTGTTTGTTCCATAGAGTACATCATGGCCTTCCTTCCCTAATAGCACTTATAAACCTTCATCATTCTTTTAACAGCCACATAGTACTCCACTGTAGCACATACTGAAAATGATTTATCTAGTTCCCTATTGATCTACTTGCAAAACAGTCTGGTTTTGATAGGAAAGAATCCAGTGGGGAAAAATAACTTGAAATTGTGATTGTGAAATATTATGATTATTATCTTTATTTTTATTTCTAAGAATAATTTATACAACAGTGTAAAAATATGTTTTCTTATATTAGTTTCTGAAATTTTAAAATGAATATGGAATAAATCAAATTTATTAATTTGTCATTTGAAATTCTTTTTTTTTTTTAAGATTTTATTTGTTTGACAGAGAGAGAAAAGGACAGCAAGAGAGGGAACACAAGCAGGGGGAGTGGGAGAGGGAGAAGCAGGCTTCCCGCGGAGCAGGGAGCCCGATGCGGGGCTCGATCCCAGGACCCCGGGATCATGACCTGAGCCGAAGGCAGATGCGCAATGACTGAGCCACCCAGGCGCCCCGTCATTTGAAATTCTTAAAAAAAAAACCACACCTTTTTTTCTCTAGGATGTTTCAGAGCGTCCTAGAGTTGTTTTAGGAATTAAGATGAACCCGGCATAAAAACCCAGTGCTCTTTGAAATTACATGGTGCTTAAGTGTTTCTTTAATTTGAACATGTTATTGAAGGTCACGTGTTATTTACTGTTTTGTAGGCCAGCTGTAATGACCATAGCTGATGGAATATATAAGGTTTGCATCCACGTAGGATCCAAGCTGATCGAGAAGATTCTTCTCAACATTTCCCCTGACTGGCTCAACAGAGTTGTAGGTAAGATGTCAGCTCACCATCGAGAGGTTGTTGGTGGTGAAACTACTCGTTTCAGGGCTGTTGACAGTATATTGGAACAGAAAGAACACTATACTGTAAATTAAGGTTTTTTTCCTGTCAGTGCAAAAGCTTGAGTGGAACAAAGAGGATGCAGTTGGAAGATAAGCCTTGCTCTACACCTGCTGTGACAGGCACGCTCAGCCTTGCATCTCTGCGGGTCTTTTGCCGTCCTCCCCTCTCCCAGCAGTAGGGCACCACCGATGGTCTCGATCTTGGAGGTTTCCTGCCCCTCCCCCCGGGATGGAGGGATTTTTCTTTTATCTTTCCTGCATGTTCAGCCCTGGGGCAATAGGATTTGCCGACCTTCCTCCAGCAGTTTAAGGCTCTTTTTCCTTAAAGGAGCGTCCCAAATGGTGTTTTGTGTTTTCCCTTGTGGCAGCTTCTCCCTCCCTTTCTCCAGACTTCACCGTGGTTGGAAGCTTTCTCTATGTCCTGCCCTCCGTCCAGGCTTGTGAGCACCTGGTGGGGACGAGAAGAGCCTGCCAGGGTGCAGACTCCCCTTGCCTGAGACACTGGCCCACACTCGGCTTTTAGCAAGTCGTGAAAAATTGTAGCGCATGCTTCCTTCTTGCTTGTTGGGTGGATGTGTCTTCTTTCTGAGCTGGCCGGTAACCCTGTGCTCCTGCTGTCTCCTCTCATTTCAGTTGGCTGGGCTGCCTTACTGCCTCGGCTCTCCTAGAGGCTCCACAAATTGTGATTTTGTAGTGTCTTCAAGTTTTCTAGTAATTGTTAAGGTTGGAGCCATGTTCTTTCCAGCTTTCCACATCCTAACCGGAAGTCTGTCTGTCCTTTTTGATTCACTGTCTTTATTACCATTCATTCTTCTGGCTGTTTTGTTCCTTCTGTCAGTGTTTTTTGTTGTATTTTCAGTCTTGTCTTTTCATTTTTGGCACAATACCAGTTAGCCTCCACTTCTCAGAGGAGGACCGTTCTCAGATCAAGTCTATGTTCACGTTTTGCCCATTCACTTGCAACCCTAAGTGAAATTGTGGGCACCAGTTATAAAGTGGTCATCAGACCATTCAAATTATCACTAATCTTGATTTTCTTTTTTAGCTTATCCAAGTGAAAATACAAAAGATTTAAGTATTGTAAGAGAATTCCCTCACTTCCAAAAACATGTGATTGGCTGCCTGGGAGTCCATAGACCCAATTCAAGAGGGGCTGGTGGTGTTGGTCAGGGAACGAGTGTAGTTTGAGTGGCTGGTCATGCCTGGCCAGCCTAGCCTTGAACACCCGGCTCAGGACCTGGACTTGATAGCCTAAAAAAAAAGGAAGACTATAAGACAAGTACAAAAATACAGGACATCTATCTGTAATTTCAGTATTTTTATTTTATCAAGATTTGATATTCATTAAGTCACTGACTCAGGGTTCTGTTGTATAAACTATCTAGATAACTGATAAGAGCTGTCGACTGGATAAAGAAGATGACTTTTCTGACATGGACACGCTCTTTTTGTGTCAGGCTTGACTTAGGAAGATGTTAACTTCAGTTCTTTCCTCTGTTGTTTTAAGAAGCCAAGAGCTGTGCCATAATAGGAAATGCTGTCACTCTGAGCAGCCTGACCTTGATCAGCAGGCATTGCGGGTCCTCATTCTAGAGCATATTCAGCACCTGTGACTAGAAGGGGAGGGGATAGAAAGGGAAATTTCCAGTGAGTGTGGGACTTGAGAACCAAGGGGGACAGCGACCCCTTGGCTGTGTGCGTTTCTGGCGTGTGGGCAGGGAGCCTAAGAGCTGCATGTTTCCGTGTTCCTCAGCGCCTCCCTCAGAGATCACCTATGCCATGGTGGCGGCCGACTTGATCCACTCGCTGGTGGCCGGTGGCGGCGCCCCTTGTGCAGTGAAGGCACAGAGCCTCTTCGTGTTGGATGAAAACAGCTGCCCGCTGCAACAAGAGTTCTCCCTACTAGATTTTTATCCTGACAGTGGCAAGCCTGTACCCAGTGCCCTCCTCTGAGACTGGAGGGGAAGTTGCAGGTACTTCAAGGAAGATGGCTGAACTGATTTGCCTTTTTGAGAGAAATGAATGACAGGGCTTTACCTGGGTGTTAAAAAAAAAAAATATATATATATATATATATATATAATATATTATATATATTAAAACATATTATACTTAATATATATATATTTGTAAAGAGAATTGTGTTAAATATATAAATTAAAACTTTTTTCTAGGAACGTTCTGTGAGGTTTTCTGTCTGTTGTTTGGTCTTTTCCTTTCCTGCTTTGAGAGGAAGGATCTGGCAATAAAGGCCATATGTAGCACTTCCCTGGGAAGTTCACTGTTGGTCCCTGCTCCATTCCAGCACTCTACTAAGGACCCAGGACACAGACAAAAGACATTTTCTCAGGAGTGGCTTTTCTGTCATGCTCACAAACTCTCAGTGCTTTCCCTTTAATAAACTGTCAACGTGAAATGATTTCCTCTGTTGTAATTATACATGGGAATGGGTTAGTTTGTATAAGGCTGTGTTTAGACAAGTTCAAGACAAGCATGTCTTTCTATAAAGAAGCAATGAAAATGAAGGAAACATCCTGCTTCAAATCATTTTATAAAAGGAGGAAGAGAGTCATGTTGTTAGTTCATTTCTAGGATCTCAGTGCCTTACTGAGTTTACTTACTAACAAACATTTAGTGATTTGTTCTCTCATTAGGATTGTAAAAGAATAAAGTAGTAGTCACCGTATAAAATAGTAGTCACTGATGAGGAAATGTGGAAGGACACCTAACCTGGAAGTCTGGAGTATACTGAGGGTTAAGAGGTTAAAAATATTGCTTGAAGAAAACTAAATTCGTGATGAAATGAACATGTTTGTTTTACCATACATGTGCTTTTAAAAATTCTTTTGATTCATTGCACTTGTTTTTTCTAATTTAGGGATTTTTTTTTTTTTAACTTGAACCTCGGGAGTTTTGTGAGTCTCCCAAAAATAATATGTAAAAATGTGTGTGTGAGAGAGTGCACACACACACAAGTACATCTTTCTGTGGAGGAGGTCAGTCATTCTCAGCAAATCCTCAGAAGGATCCTTGACCAAAAAGGGTGAGCGGATTGGGGTAGGAACAAGCGCTCTACTTGGTGAGTTAATTCCTGGGGAAGGAAGGGATTAAATCAAATGATTGCCAGCACCCAGTAAGGTGGGTAGAAAAAGAGTTGTCCCCGTGTTGTACATAGAGAAACAAGATAGGTGGCTCTCCCAGATAATTCATGTGATGGGTGACGAATCTCAAGCCCAGAGCTGATGTCTTCTAAGCCACGCTCTTTCAACTATAAGCACAGTGGAAGCAGATCTGGAATTCTGATATAAAATTTGCCAGTGTAAGCCTACCGAGAAGGCTGTTCTCTTAAACTTGTCTTCCCCACTTTGTCCTCAAGATGCAGCCTAATCCTTTTAATCAACCAAAACACAGTCCCCTGGAATAGACGGCTCTTCACACCCTTTTGGGAAGAAGTCTCTAAGCCATTTCAAGTGAGACCAAGAGCACCAGGTCACACCAAGATCTCTTCACAGTTTTTGGTCCATAGTTCATAGGTTAACCCATATTTCCGGAACCCTTATTTGGGCTGAAAATAACTTCCTTCTGTCTTGAGGAAATTATCATGTATTTAGTTTAAACTGCCATAGCTCCCAGGTGATTCCTTACCCATGATGTACAGGTAAGTATATTTAACCTACTCCACAAATTTTTATAAAAATCGGGTAGCCTAAGAATGTCAGCCAATCCAGCAGTCCTGTGTCTGGCAATCCCATGGTAGACATTTTAGGTAAAACGCATTTTTCATCTGACAGTTCAGCTGAGAGGGACAGTTCTCCTGTCTTAAGTTGTTTACAACTAGTCTTCCATTAATTTAGGTTCGCCTGAATGAGTGACCACAGGCTGTTAACATGGCTTTCTTAGAAGAAAATATCTCTACTTTCTCAGAACAATATAGAGTGAAACAGAAAACGTACCATCCTTGTGTCTTTCATTTTAAATGATGAATTTTCATCCTGGAGGGTCTCTAGATGGTGCGATATGGTTCCCAAATCAGAACAATTAGAATAAAGTGTTCATCTTTCCTGAGACTTTAACCCTGACCCCTGTTTTAAGGTCAATAGGGTGAGAAATAGGTGTGAGGGAGGAGGTTTGCCAATTAATTGTTCTTCTGTTTTGGGGGGTCTTAAACCTAGTTCGTCATCAGGAAGTGAACTCTGCCCACTCAAGGAATACATTTGCTAAGCGTGAGCTGTCTGCTTCCAAGACATCTCTCCCTTTGCTCCCACTTAGCTGCCTGGGGCTGGAGGAGGGCATAAACTGGCAGTGGGACCACTTCTCCCCAGTCCCTTCCCCGTCCCCCGAGGCCCAGCTCCTGCAGAGACTGGGGGCAGGGAGGAAACAGGACAGGGGACAAGGGTTTCATGACAAACCAGCTCCCACCATGATCCTCTCTTGGGGTGATCCTGACCGCCAGTGCCTTCTGAGCAGCAAGCACCCAATGCTGCACTTTCTAGAATGTGTGCCGGAGTTCTTCGGAGGGCTTCTCCTTCTTAAACAGCATCTGCACCATTTCTTGTCAGGGGAGATCACGCTCCCGCCTCGTCTCGTCCACCCCTCAACTCCCTCCAGATGTCAGCTCTTCTCTTCACCCCGACTTCTCTCTCTGACTCACTTCACTCCATGCTCAGATGTGCACAGGCAGCAGGTCAGCAAATTCTCTGCATGACCTGACAGCAGACAAGCTGAGGGATTGTCCTTATTTACATAATGTGTGTAGTGCAATTCAAATTATGTAACATTGTGATCATACCATGTAGAAGAATCTGACCAAAATGGTGTAGTGATTACTCTGGGTGGGGAACTGGGGCCTGGTTTTACTTTCTCCTTTATGATTATTTTTATCTGATGGAATTACTAGGAAAATTTCCCTAATTTCTGAAGAATACAAATTCCCTATATTAAAAAGATTACTTACCAAATATAGAAAAAGGTAATATGGTTTTTTTTAAGATTTTATTTTTATTTTATTTATTTGACAGAGAGAGACACAGCGAGAGAGGGAACACAAGCAGGGAGAGTGGGAGAGGGAGTAGCAGGCTTCCCACGGAGCAGGGAGTCCAATGCGGGGCTCAATCCCAGGACCCTGGGATCGTGACCTGAGCCAAAGGCAGATGCTTAATGACTGAGCCACCCAGCCACCCCGGTAATATGTTTTTTTAAAATAATTTTTTATTGTTATGTTAATCACCATACATTACATCATTAGTTTTTGATGTAGTGTTCCATGATTCATTGTTTGTGCATAACACCCAGTGCTCCACGCAGAACGTGCCCTCCTTAATACCCATCACCAGGCTAACCAATCCCCCCCGCCTCTAGAAACCTCAGTTTGTTTTTCAGAGTCCATCATCTCTAATGGTCCGTCTCCCCCTCCGACTTACTCCGCTTCATTCTTCCCCTCCTGCTATCTTCTTCTTTTTTTTTTTCTTAACATATATTGCATTATTTGTTTCAGAAGTACAGATCCGTGATTCATCAGTCTTGCACAATTCACAGTGCTCACCATAGCACATACCCTCCCCAATGTCTGTCACCCAGCCACCCCATCCCTCCCACCCCCCACCACTCCAGCAACCCTCAGTTTGTTTCCTGAGATTAAAGTTCCTCATATCAGTGAGGTCATAGGATACATGTCTTTCTCTGATTGACTTATT